GAGAAGATGATGTGAAACAAACCCCACTGAGTCCAACCCTCCTTCCCACGACCCTCACAAGGAGGCAGGGGCAAGACCCCTAAGAAGTGGTTCTGGAATCTAAGTCACTCAGCCTCACCTTCCAAGGTTAAAAGGTAAAAAAAGTTTCTAAGGGCCGTGAACCCAACATGACTGAGGTTTACAAAATGTTCAGGCAAGGGCTAAGGGGAACCCACCGAAATCACAAAGAAAAGAGGAGCCAGCTCTCCACTCCCAGAGTCTTGTCTTGGAAGACCAAAATGCACCCTCACAGAAGTCTGAAGAATGAGCAGCCCCTGCATGCAGAGAAGGGAGGGCTGTTAAGGTGAAAAACAGTGGCCTGGCATAGATTGCTAGGCACCAATCAGCAGAAGCCGGGTAGGGTCTGAACAGGAGGGTGCCATTACCGTCCCCCATGGTGTATCTCTTCTCCTCATAGCTTGAGTCTGTGTATTCCAGGAGCAGGCGGATGGGGTGAGCCAGCTGGGAGAGATGGCCATGGCAGAGGTCAGAGATGGAGGGACCCTGCCTGTATGATTTCCTCTCTTCCAAACAAACCCCACCCACCTTTACCCACTACACACACACACACACACACACACATACATAAAGGGTGGCAAAGGCCTTCTGACATGGACAGGCAGAGAGCTCCAGCAGGTGCTGACAGGGATCTGTCTCCTAGAAGGAGACTCCCTACTGCTCAGCAAAGTGCCTGCCCTGTCCCCCTCTCACCAGCTAGACGGACCCTTAGCTCACCCCGCGGATGTCCCAGTATCCCAGTGTCATAGGCATGGTGCTGTGCACAGGCCTCTATGCTAGGTTAGCTTTCAACTTCTGAGAGAGCCTGGGGTGCAGAAGGTGGAGCCTAGTTCTGGTCTGGTTTTAGGCCCTCCCCACCCCGCCCCCAATTCCCACCAACCCGGAGTCCTGAGTGCCTGCCAGAGCCCAGGGGAGGGAGGAGTAAGATCCAGTGCAGGGATGGTCCCAGAACCTGGGCTGGGTGCCCAGAAGCCAAAAGCCAGGCTCTGCTAGCCTTCTCCTTAGTCCGGCCAGAAGCTCCCTGTTCCCCTCCCCCCACCCCACTCACTTGCTGAGTCCACAGGCAGCTGGCAGTGCTCTTGAAGACAGGCCAGACAGTGAAAGAGCAAGACTGTTCTTTCCAACCTTGCATTGCTCAGCCGAGTTCCTGCGTGCTCAGGGAGGTTCAAGCAGCCAGGGCCAGGTGCTCCCAAACTGGGAGTTTCATTCAGCATCCATCACTGAACAATCTCAAAGTTCCTCAATGCTTTATAAGCGATAGCAGCCTCGTGAATAAAGGAACGGTGTCAATGAAATAGGAAAGCCCCCCAGAAATATGTGGTCTCCCTATTTTTCCATAGGGAATTTGGGGGATGTGGCCCTTCAGTCACCAGGCTAAGGAGTATACAAATTAGCCAATTGCTATTTTGACCCTGTTTGTGTAAGTAAATTCAAGAACCAGACAGAGAGGGGGACACTGAGGTACTGCCCAATTGCTGAGAATCTCTCACACTGAGCAGCAGCAGTGGCCACAACTGGGGTATGTGCTTGGGTGAAGATTCTATTCTCCAAAGAGCAGACACCTCTCCTGCTACCACGGAGAAACAGGAAGGGGCTCAGAGGGACCCTGGAAGACTCTGCACAGGACACAGGTAGGCCAGGACCAGACCTCAGCTCTCCAGGTCCCTGTATTCCGGCCCTGGCCCTGGCTCCTGACCCATGCGTGTTCTTGGTATGAGAAGGAGTCTCAGATGGTCTTTGATGTCACTCTGGAATCCAGGACCTGGGGTGCAACCCTCACCAGGACAAGGTCCTATCCAAGTATGCTACAGGTAAAGAAAATATGTTTTGTAAAATTCAGTCAGCTGGAAAAGCAGAGAGGCATCAGCAGCATGTTCTTGAAGAGCCTCAGAGACCTGGCTCTCAGGTGCCGTCTACTGTCGGCAGCCTCCAGCCGCAGCATGGCTCTGCTGGGAGTGGCAGACACAGGGTCCCACGGCCACGTGGCTGTCCAGCAGGAGTGCCTCAGAACTGTAGCATCAGCACCTGTCAACACTGACCACAAGGCCACCCGGCCTTCTTGAGGACAGCTGCCTTGCTGTGCTGGACTTTCTCATGTGGGTCTAGAGGTCAGGAGAGAGGTCCCCAAAGGAAAGGTGTTAGGAGACTGTTTCAAAATGAAGAGAGGTAGGACAAATTGCTCTGATTGATTTTGAACTATGTAAAGGATTTGACAAGACATAACAAAAATTTGAAAACAGGTGAGTGGAACTAAAAATGAAATGGGTTTCTATGTTAAAGGGCAAGATTGTTGCTCTGTAGGAAGTAAAGTTTGGAAATTAGCTAAGACTTTGTTGAGACTGCAGGGTATAAACCCAGCATATCAGCAAAGGTTTTCCCCGACAGGAACAAGGTGTGGAGTGGGCATGAAGGAGCACAGATAAAGGTCATCTTATCCCTATTAATTCAAAGAAATGACGCACCCTGCATGTCTCTGTAAAATGGAGGAGCTGACTGAGACCATGTCACTTGGAGTGCAGTCCCTGTTACAAATGCTGCCTTCAGTCAGGTTCAATTCTCCCAACTCAAATCACCTGTGTCTAAGCTCTGGCTGCAGCCTCAGGCCCCAGAGTAAACCCCTATGTTGTTTTGCCTAAAGTGAGGTAAGAGCAGCACACCTACATACACTGGCCTCTGAATTATTAAGTTCTCATTATACATCAAGGTTTGTCATAATCAGTTTGATAAATCCCTAGCACAGACACATAAAATTTCTAGATCCAATTAAGGAAGTGATTTTTAAAACCAAAATTAATGAGATGAAAATTTTTGAAAGACAGAGGACGGATATTTTACATTGGTGTGCATCCTGTTGTTCCCTCCTTTTTGAAAATACACTTGTGGATGTGCCAACACAGAGACACTCCCATGACTGAGATCATCCTTCAAATTGCCTGCAGTTTGGCTCTTAAGGACTGAAGACAGGTGGGAACTACAGGGAAGAACTTTTGGAAATAGGAGACACATCTTTGTGTTTTTCTACACTGAGCATAGCGGAGAGGGAGAGAAGTCAAGTGCAGGAAAAGGAGGCCATGTTGCCTAGGACAAGGACTCTGAGCATCTGGGAGGGTGGAGCCAGAGTACCGGGGCTCCTCCAGAGGAAGAGAACAGCTCTGCAGAAGGAGGGGAAGAAGGAGATGAACAGGTTCGCCAAGGGGGATTCCAGGGTCCAGAAGGACCATCCAAATGAGTGACATGGTCTCTGAAAGGGACTAGGGAGCAGTAGGATTAGAGACAGTTAGATGGATGTGACCTCAAAGAAATTCACCCCAATATTGCCTGGTCTCCTGGATATCTATGTGCTCTGTCCCAACAGTACTGTGTGGACCAGTTCTAATTTTTTAGAGGAATACTATGGGATAATCAAATTATATGGGATGAAATTTGAGTAAGGGCCCATAGAGTGACCTCTGGACAAGATTCCATGACTCCTTCTAGGTCTGCGAGTGATATACTGACACTCTCAAGGTAAAAATCACAGAAATCCTACCTATAATGGCCTCAGAATTTTAAAGATATCACCATAGAAATAATACCAACAAATTAATTCAATAAGTTCTACTTCATGGAAATTTTTTCAAATTCTCTTAAATATTGTTTTGGTAAATTCAGAAAATACAGTATATTTTCTTATCTCTGAAAAAATCAGATGAATATCACTATTTCCTAGATTTCCACCAGATGGAATGAGAAAAAGAGCATCCTACGTCCTGACCATATTAAGAAATGGTTAAGGGCTGGGGTACAGCTCAGTATGGGTCAGGCCATGGGTTTGATCCCCGTCACCACAAAAAAAAAAAAGAAGAAGAAAAAGAACAATTAGGTTAAACATACTAGGGATTTTAGTTTGACCAATAACAACACAGTTCAATGTTTTTTTCAAAAATTGTGTAAAACGAGATAAAACAAAGAAGAAAATTATTGAACTTTTATTAATATGCTTAGGAAACCAGTAATCAATTCTTCCTAAACATTAGCTAAATTTATTTATTTATTTACTTATTTTGTGGGGTGCTGGAGATTGAACCCAGGGCCTTGTGCAAGCGAGGCAAGCACTCTACCAGTTGAGCTATATCCCCAGCCCCTTTAGCTAAATTATAGAGCATTAGTCCAACAACAAAAACCCCAAAGAAAATTTCAAGTTAACAAACCTCAGGACTAAGAAAAAAAGACTTAAAAATTAGTACAAATTATTTCAAAATTGAGGAGACAACCAATTGGATAAATACAAATATATCAACATTTTTTAAGAAATTAAGTTTGAATGAACTAAAAATGCATAATAAAGAAAAATCATAAGCCAAAACACACTTGTTACTCAGGAATTGCTGTAATGAATTTTGAAGTTCCCAAATTTCCTGACCATTGACTATATACCAGACACTGCCAGACATATCAGAGATAAAAAGTCCAACAAGCCCTGCGCCCTCTCCTCAATGAGCTTGTGACTGAGTGGGGTGACAACAGCCACAACACCAACTACAACACAGTGGGGTGTGTTCATGGAGAACGTCCTGGGAACATAGAGGAGGGCTGTCCAGACCAGGAATGCTTCCAGGAGAAGGGTCAGAAGATGGTCACCTGTGGGCTCCTCGGCCCCTTCCCATCAGCCCAGCACCTCTCTGAACCATGACACCTAGCTGCACATGGCCTATGGAGCCTTGCACCCTGCCACATGGATGAGGAACCCTGGCATGGAAGGAGCACCCTTCTATAGGAATCCCATGGTAAGGACCACAGGGACATGGACAGGGGACAGCGACAACCTTAAGTGACCTCATACCCTGTCTGACTACACAGAGCACCCACCCCACACCCCCATGCACCCAGTTCCTGCTGTGGACAACAGACCACAGCCACACAGTGAGCCCCGAGGGTAAGAGGCAATGACACAGACACAGAGCAAGTGTGGTCCAGACTTTATTGGGGTCAGACAGGGCTGGACAGCTGCCATGCTGGGGACCAGAGCCAGCTCACCAGGTAGTACTGGAGTTGGGGCAGTGCAGGGGAGCATGGACTCAGTCATGCTCCTAAAAGCAGAGCTGAGGACTGTCTGGTTGGATTTAGGATAGGGATAAGGAAGGGGAGCTGTAACTTACAGTGGATTTACTAGACAAGGGGTTGATTAGGAGAAAAGCAAGGCAATGAGGCCTTGCAGAGGAGAAGGTTGTGGAAAGAAGAAGAAGGGAATGAGAAGACAGATGCCAGGGTGCTGAGAGTTAGTTGTGCCCCAGGACCCAGAACAGCAGGGGCAACCTTGGATCCCCATTTAACCTTGGCATGACAGTTTACTATTTTTTATTCCAATGGGCCATCTTTGCAAAAATAGGCCTGGGGAGGAAGCGGCTGGACTTCATGTAGTCAGAGATCTTCCTTAGGCCCTGTGAATGGGAGAGAGAAAGCGAGAGCTCAGGGCTGCTGCCCCATTCCAGGAGCAGGCTTGCCAGGAGGGTTCAAGGGCTGAGCACAGAACAGTTGGCCCAGGTTTGAGCTCTGGAAGGAAACCAATTTCCTGGGACTTAGGGGACACTGAATGCGGTGATGAGGGTTTTATTTCATTGGAAGTTATACTCAATTACACTCAATGATCCCACAAGATTAGTTGTGCAGAATTTATCTGGAAGGAATCCAAGGTACAGAGAAGTTAAGGGACTTCCTCATGCTCACAGAGCTGGTACATGGGAAAGGGCTGGATGGAGCCTGGCCCTATCTCTCTAATTCTGTGGCCTCTCTGATACAATCTCTTTTCCCCTTTTCACAGGAGGCCCTGACACTCTGTCTGCACAAATCTTGCACAGCCAGGCTCCTTCTTGCCTCTATTTGCCCAAAATCTAGTAGAACAAAGGGGTTGGCAACATGCCTGTACAGTTTAATAGACAGAAAAGTGACCCAGTGACTCAGCAAATCCTGGGTATACGTAAACAAGGAGAGGTGAACCACCAAGAGAAGTGCTGATCAGCTTTTATCATTCAACCAGAGCAAAATCCCCAAACTCTGAAACCTGGTACCTGACTGAGCCCCGATTCACCATGTGCCTACCTACCTCATCTTTGTCCCTGCCAGAGAAGACTGGGTTGAATGACACTTAGGTGTGCTGTGCACTATCTTTTTAGGATACAGTGCCCACAAAATGTGAATGGATTCAAGATCCTGGGCTATCTCCACAGGAAAGAGCTAGCAGTCCTCAGGTTTCAGCCCTTTCCTGTCCTCTACCCCAGACCACCCTACCCCACCCCAACAGTCCTGTCAGTCCTTGCACAATCCCTGAAGCTACTCACTCCGATAGATGCAGAGCTAAAAGAACTAGATACAAAAACACATCATTAGATGGGGAATAGGAAAGAAAAAAAAATCTCAGGCTGAAATAACTGTGGCAATAGCACCTCAGATTCCCAAATCTCTACTAAAGCAGGTTGTTAGTGACAAACAAGTGGACCTGGGGTGACCCATGATTGGCTGTGAGGGGAGGGCAGGCTGTGATCCTCAGCACCCAAGTGACACCACTGGAAACTCTTAGTCAGGTGCCTGCCAATCTCTGCTGTACTTGGTCCCAGGATGGGGCCTCCTTACATGTCCACTGGGCCTGACACCAAAGCTCGTGTGGAGGAGACACTGAATAGGAGTGAAAATCAGTGACCCCAGCTCACACACAGAACACTTGAGATACTCAAGAGGAGAGAGGATGCTGGCTGAAAGCAAGATCCCAACCATCCAAAGAGCCATAATAAATCCCCCAAGGGTCCCCACATGTGTACTCATAAGCACCAGTCACCACCCTGGGGTCCTAGTGCTTCCCCGGGTGGCATCTGATGGAGCCAAGCCTGCTGCAGAGCAGCTCTCAACACTGTCTGGGCCTTGCTCTGCCAGTCCCCCAGCCTCACCTCAGCCTCCCACCTCCAGCTGCACACACCCTGTCTTGCTCTCCTCCTGCACAGCATCCTGGACTGTGAAACCCAGGCTGCTCCTTCTGACAGAAGGCAGGGACAGCCACCCACCAGGGCCTTCAGTGGCACTGGGACCCTGAGCAAATGGCTTATCCTCTACAGTCTCAGTTTCCATGTCTACCCAGTGGGACTCATAATTCCATCAGCCTTGTAGGAATATTGTAAAGATAACTTTGACGCCATAAATACAAGATGTGAGTGCAGGTCCTGGCATATAAAGACAGTGCTCAATAAATGCTGGTTACTCTTCCTTCACCTTCAGGACTAGGAAAGCATCATAAAGGGAGAAGGGAAAAAGGACATTCAAGAATGAGGAGGAGCAGGGGCATCACCTCAAAGCGGGACATGAAGTCCTTCAGGTTTGGGAATGCATCAAGGCACTTGGGTTCAAACAGACGGTGCTGGTCAAGGATATCATAAGCGATGAAATCCACAAAGGTGATCTGCAGAAAGCCGAGAATGAGTGGACTGGAAGCTCCACAACCTGGGAAGAAGGACACTTTTCCTCCCCATCTCCCTCCCTCTTTACCTTCTCCCCTGCAAACCATGGGTGCTTCCCCAGGAACTGTGAGTAAAGCTTCATCTTCTCAGGGAGGCCTTCTAAGAACTCAGGTTTCAGTTTTTCCTGAGACAGAAATCAGTGGTCACCACCCTCAGACACAAGCTCCTTGGCAGAGAGGCCAGCATCACCAGTGGTGTGCATAGCCCCAGCCACCAGGGCTGAGTCTCCATCTTCCCCAAGTCTGGGTCATGGTCCAGCTTCCATTCACTGCACCACCATTTGTTAAACTCCGCTGGTACCAGACCCCATCTGTTAGAGGGGATGGGAAGTCAAAGAGCAGTGGAACACTGGCCCTACGACTGTCACCCGTGATGTACAAACCACCTTTTGTGGGTAAGACATGTAGGAGTAGTGTTGATGGGAATGCAAGAATTTGGGCCCTGCCTCACCCAGCACCATAGGGAGACCTACAAAGTCAGGGTTGTAGCAAAGCCTGCCAAGCTGCATGCGAGAGTCCATAGCCTGGTTCTCCAAAATGTCCACACGAATCTTCTCCTCTTCTGTCTCCCCACCTGCAGTCCACGCAACAGAGATATACCCTCAGCCTCCCACCCCAGCCAAGCAAGAGACATGGCCACCATCCCCCACACCCTGCAGCCAGCCCCACTCACACAGGTTGTGCTTGCGGGCAAGGTAGCGCAGGATGGCGTTGCTCTGGGTGATCCTGTGAGGCCCGTCAATCAAGTAGGGCAGCTGAATGGACAACCAGGGAAGGTCAGGTGGAATGACCATTTCCCAGTCCCCCACCTGAGACCTGGCACTTGTTGTGTCTGGCCCATGGTAATCACTACATCAGCATACCATAGAATGAATGAATGAGCTGGGACACAGCTGCCATAGAAAGACAGTGTAGACACCTAGAATTGAGAGTAGCTGAGCAGAAGCACTGATCCTCACAACTAAGCAGGGCAACGAGATGAGGTAGGGATTCAATCACTTCCCCAACCACCCCATCCTCCACACCTACATTGGGAAAGTCCAGGCTCAGCTTGAATTTCTCACTCAGCCACTGGCTTCTGTCATAGTCCGGAGCTGTGGAGAAGATGATGTGAAACAAACCCCACTGAGTCCAGCCCTTATTCCCCAGCACCCTCCCAAAGAATCAGAGGTAAGAACCCTGAAAGAGTGGATCTGGAATCTGAGTCTCTCAGCCTCATATTCCAAGGATACAGGAGTAAAGAATGTTTATAAGGGCTATGGACCCTACATGAGTGAGGCTTAAAAAGGGTTTAGGCAGGGGCTACGGGGAACCCATTCTAATTACAGATACAGAAGGCCACAGCAATCCCCTCTCAGATCTTGCATTGAAAGGCCAAAATATACTGTCAAAGAGGTTTCTGGGAGGGCCAGGCTTTAGGTGCAGCAGGCCTGCAGACCCGAGCAACAGATGGTCTGGGCATGAGTGCTAGGCAACAACCAACAAGAGGCAGGCTGGTGTTTGAACAGGAGGGTGACATTACCGTCCCCCATGGTGTATCTCTTCTCCTCATAGCTTGAGTCTGTGTATTCCAGGAGCAGGCGGATGGTGTGACTCAGCTGGGAGAGACGGCGGTGGCAGAGGTCAGAGATGGAGGGACCCTGACTGTGCGACTTCAATTCCTCCAAGGGGACATCACTCACCCTCTACACTTATCCTACACACACACACACACACACACACACACACACACACACACACACACAAAACTCTCTTGAACAATCAGAGAGCTGCGGTAAGCACTGAAGAGGACCCATCTTCTAGAACCAAGCCCCCAGCTACTCCTCAGGTCCCAATCCCACATCCCCATCCCACCTGCCATGCTGTCCCCTAGCTCACCCCGCGGATGTCCCAGTATCCTAGTGTCATAGGCATGGTGGGCTAAGCTGACTGTCAAACCTCTGCCAGGCTGGCCTCCGACTTCAGTCTGAGGCGGCACAGAGGGGTGGAGCCTGGTTTGGGTTGGGTCTTTGGCCCGCCCAGCCCCGCCCCGGATTCCCTCCAGCCCCGCCCCGGATTCCCTCCAGCCCCGCCCCGGATTCCCTCCAGCCCCGCCCCGGATTCCCTCCAGCCCGAGGGCGAGCCTGGACCCTGGGAGGGAGGAGCAAGGCTCACTTTCTCCAGTCCCCGTCCTGGTCAGCGGCTTCCCGCCCCACTCTGCTGGGTGTGCAGGAGTGGCTGCACACTTAAAGACAGGTCCATTGGTGACAGAGCAAGGTCGTGGTTCCTCCTTCCCCTCCTCACATTACTCAGTCTTGGCTCCTGGGCGAAACCCCTTCTGGCTCTGAAGACTCAGCCTTTGGGGCTGGGGGTGTGGCTCAACTGGTAGCCCGCTCGCCTGGCATGCGTGCGGCCCGGGTTCCATCCTCAGCACCACATACAAACAAAGATGTTGTGTCCGCCGAAATGTAAAAAATAAATACTTATAAAATTCTCTCTCTCTCTCTCTCTCTCTCTCTTTAAAAAAAAAAAGCTGCTTAAAAAAGACCACATCCACTGACCATTTCCTTAAAAAAAAAAAAAAAGAAAAAAGACTCAGCCTGCCAGGTCACGTCAAAATGGAATCATTCAACCTGAGAGATTAATGCTCCTCTTCGTCCACTAAAAATCACGTCTCGACCAAGGTCTCTATTCAAAGATCATGTCTCTGGGGTTAGCAGAGTGCAGTCTCTGTTAGAGATCTCCCATTCAAACAGGACCAAACCTCCCAGCTCAGATCCCAAGACCATCCAGGCTCAAGAAGCAACCTCTGGCCTCAAAGTGAATTACCCTAAAGGCTACAGGACCGTGTACTGGCACAGTGCCTGGGCCCCTGATTGTTACAGTTCTAGTACCTTACCTGTTTCTCGCTTTGGGTTTTACACATCTTCCGTTTCAAAAGAAAATATTTCTAAATCCCACTGTGGAAATGATTTTTTGAAAAACCATTAACCAGAATGATAAATGAGTAAACTAAATGATTAACATGAATTAGAATCATGATTTTGAAAGACACAGGACAGATGTTATACACTGATGTTCAACTATCTGGTCTCTATCCACCAGAAAAACGTTTGTGGTAGAAGACAGTCCATGTGAATGCAGTTTAGCTATTAAGGACCAAAATTCAGTGGATATTACCTGGGAGGATTTTGGAAATATGGCACATACTTAGTGTTTTTAAACACTGAGCATAGTGGAGAGGGAGAGAGGTCAAGTGCAGGAGGAGGCCATGCTGCCCAGGACAAGGACTCTGAGCAGCTGGGAAGGTGGGGCCAGAACGCAGGGGCCCCTTCAGAGGAGGAAGCTCTATAGAAGGAGTGGAAGAAGGAGACCAGCAGTTCTCCAAGGTGAGCCCCAGGGCCCAGGAGGAGGATCATCCAAAAGGGTGACTTGGGTCTCTGAAAGGCACCAGGGAGCTGTGGGGATTAGGATACTTGAAAGTGGTCTGAAACAAGGGATTGTGCCTACCTGACCTCTCAGAAAGTCCCACCCCAATGTTGCTTTTTCCACTGAACATCTACGTGCTCTGATGGTATTGTGTGGACCAATTCTAAATGTTTAGAGGAACACACTGGGATAATCAAAATATGTGGGATGAAATTTAGCCAAACCCCTACAAAGTGACTTCTGGACTAGATTTCAAAACTCCTTCCAGGTCTGTGGGTGACATGCAATCACCCTCATGGAAAATTCACAGATATTCAACATAAAATTAAGTACAAAATAATTTTTTAGTAGAAATAAATATCAACAACTGGATCTAGTGGCACATGCCTGTAATCCCAGTGATTCCGGAGTCTGAGGCAGAAGATCACAAATTCAGGCTAACCTCAGCAACTTTGTGAGACTCTGGGGATGCAACTCAGTGGAAAAGCACCCTGGATTCAATCTCCCAATCCTAGGGGGGGAAAAAGGAAGAGGAAAGAAAGAGAGAGAGAGGGAGGAAGGAAGAGAGAAAGAAAAAAAAGAAAGAAGAAACGAAGGAAGGAAGTGGGGAAAGGAAGGAAAGAAGAGATCAACAGAGCAACTAAGAACAGAACAGGGAGGAAGAGCATGAGGAAAAGATTAACATTAAACAGAGACGAGTGGTGGGAGAGAAAGGGAGAGAGAAGGGAAATCATATGGAAATGGTAGGAGACCCTCAATGTTACACAAAATTACATATAAGAGGTTGTGAGGGGAAAGGGGGGGAACAAGGGAGAGAATTGAACAACAGCAGATGAGGTAGAGAGGGAAGATGGGAGGGGAGGGGAGGGGGGATAGTAGGGGATAGGAAAGGTAGCAGAATACAACAGTCACTAATATGCCATTATGGAAAAATGTGAATGTGTAACCGATGTGATTCTGCAATTTGTATTTGGGGTAAAAATGGGAGTTTATAACCCACTTGAGTCAAATGTATGAAAGATGATACGTCATGAGCTTTGTAATGTTTTGAACAACCAATAAAAAAAATAAGAGATCAACAGACAAATTTTTTAAGAAATTAAATCTGTTAAATATCATCTAGGTAAACTTAGAACATCCAGAATAGAAAGAACATGCTCTTAAATCTGAAAAGAAGAAAATAAAAATCACCGTTTATAAGATATTGCCAAATTGGAATTAAGGGGAAAAAAATTCCCTACATGTCTGAGATACCAAGAATAAGGCAATTTAGGGATTTTAGAAAGTTAGCAACAATGTTTAAGGTTAGAAAATTATGGAAAATAATAAAGAATGCCAAGGAGAAAAATATTGAAACTTTCATCCATAACCCTTAAGAAACCAATAGTTGGTTCTCTAAAACCTTTAAATTCGTAAAGCATTTGTCCAATGACAAAAATTAGAAGGGAAATAATAAGTTAATAATAGAATGAAGAAAAAAATCAACAGAAATAATTTCTCAAGTTAGGGAAGCTTTTTTTTCTCAGCAACATATTCATCTTACAGCTAAGTAGAACAAACTCAAGCATGTTAAAATTTGTTAAAAGAAATGAAGATCTGAATAGAGTCATAATGCACCATAAAGAAAAATGATACCACAAAATTATACTTGTTCTTCAGGAATTTGTGGCGTGAATTTTCAAAGCTTTCCAAAGAAGAAGGTGTGACATGAATTGTCATAAACTCCACCCCTCTATGGCATGAGAGACCTGCCCTGGGAAGAAAGGGCGGTGGGGCGTAAGGGGTTATGGGTCTGGGTCCACTATCAGGTGCTGGTATCTTAGAGAAAGAACATGGTGTTGTGGTCAAGAGCGCCCTGTGCTCCTGACCAGTATGCTGGGGAGGGTCAGACAGAGAGAGGAGGGTGTGGAGGAGGGAGAGGGGACACAGTGAACAGCTGGGGTACATAGAGTTCTTTGTGCTCTTTTTTGCAAATTTTCTCAAAGTCTGATACTGTATCAAAATAGAAAGTTAAAAAATACATGCATCACATGATCCACGATACACATAAATATATTATTAGTTGAAATAAAAGCTTCATCACACAAGACTTGCTTTAACTACAAAGAATTGCATCCTGAAATTGCTTTATTCTATTTTTTCACATTTTAAAGTTTACATGTTATTTTCTTAAAGTTTTATTTGCAATTGACACATAATAATTGTGCATATTATGGAGCATAATGTGATGTTTTGATACATAAAAATGTTATGTAATAATCAAATCAGGGTATTTAGCATATCCATCACCTCAAGTATTCATCATTTCTTAGTGAAGAGAACATCCAAGCCAGGTGCAGTGGCACACACCTGTAATCCCAGCGGCTCAGGAGACTGAGGCAGGAGGATTGCAAGTTCAAAGCCAGCATCAGCAAAAGCGAGGCACTAAGCAACTCAGTGAGACCCTGTCTATAAATAAACTACAAAATAGGGCTGGGGATGTGGCTCAGCAGTCGAGTGCCCCTGGGTTCAATCCCCAGTATCCCCCCCAAAATAATAACAATAATTAACAAAGGGTCAAGGTAACACACTTCATGGTATTATTTTAAACCAATAAAAGTACTGTAGGAAAAAATATTAGACCCCTAAGTGTCTCAGGTGATGCAGAATCAGATCCATAGCGTTCTTCATGGCACCTTAAATAAGTCTATGCTCCCTGGAGAGCATTCAAATCATCTGTTATAATAATATCAACCATGTTATCCTTTCCTCATAGTGTCTGCTTTGGGGATCATGCCTGGTAAAAAAAACCAAAATTAGAAGAAGAAATTGGTTTAAAGACAGAGTATTATATACAACATAGGCCAAAATCAGAAAAATCCACTTGTCCAATAGCATGAGACAACTATGCAAACTATACCTACAGAAAAATGCCAGAGATCCATTCATTATGAGGTGTATGCACACATGTGGACTGCCAATAAGTGCAGATTTTTAAGTGAAATGTGAACGAGAAGAGGAGCAGAGCCTGAGAATGTATTATACATGACAATCTCACCCACTTAAAACATAGGCATCAAGAAAAATCAAGAGAATTTGGAGGTCTATCACAAAAGATAGAAAATATTTTGCTTAATAATTATTCATTGAGCACACACTAATAGTATCGGGGGCTCTTGTAGATTTGATATAGATACCTATAACCCCAGGGAACAAACAGAAACCAAAACATGTACCCCCTGCTATTGGCATCCTAAGTGGGGAAAGTAGATAATAAAGACATGGGTTTTGGAGCTGGGGCTGTAGCTCAGTGGTAGAGCACTTGCCTAGCATGTGTGCGGCAGTGGGTTTGATTCTCAGCACCACATATAAATAAATGAACAAAATAAAGGCCCATCAATGTCTAAAAAATATTTTTTTTTAAAAAAAAGACATGGATTTTGGCATTTGTGAATTTTGGGTAATCACGTAAAGTATACATTACCTGCACCCTACAGGTCCCTTCAGTAGGAATTTTCCACCCTCTATCATGCACTTACTATCACCATGGAGTTATTTTCATGAACATGGAATGATACAGTATGCACTTACGTCTTTGTTCTTTTACTTCATGTAACTTCATATCTGCCAGG